AATACCTGTGGAGGACAGAAGAGGCTGTCGGATCCCCTGGAACTGGAGTTATAGATGGTTGTTAGCTGCCATGTGGGTGCTGGGATTCAAACCTGGGTCTTCTGCAAGAACAGCCAGTGCTCTTAACCACTGGGCCATCTCTCCAGCCCCAAGTAGTCTTGTATTTTTGAAAGACATTTTCCAGATATATGCAAGACACAGCATTCAGAAATGTTATTATCTACCACAATTAGTTTTATGGCTCTCTAATTATACAGTCTTAAGTTCATGTAATGAAATCTGATCACTAGAAATATTTGGGTTGATAAATGCTAAGTTATAATGGTAAAATACTCAAAGGAAATTCTGACAGTTTTATCAAATTTATATTTTGAATCAACTCTAAATCGTTTCCATAACAGCACTTACACTACTTTGCTTTTCTCAGAGAGCAATCATAGTTCTGCAGTAAAGAAACCTACTATCTCTCAAAGAGACCCACATACAGACATGAACCTGACTTGTACCTGGTGTGAGGATGGTGCAGAGCGTGTTTGATATGCTGCTAAACCATCAGATTGAAGGCAAGAGAAAACTGTAATTCCAAAGCATGGTAAGGGACCAAATAGTTCTGGTTCCCAAACATAAAATGCACCCATGGAGCCTGAAGCTCACCAGATTGCTATGGAGAACAAACTCCCCATGTGGTCTGGTTTGTGAGTTGTGCTGTGATCTTTCAGCACCTTTTCCCTCTGACAACCATGGCGTAACACATTTCTATGTGTCTAGTGCTGTGCTAGCTGCTGGGCAGCACAGACATGACTGGGGCTGTGGTGACATGTTTACAGGCATCAAGTGTTTATGAACCTTATCTGTAATTCCCTCTGTCACATCTTTATTTTCTCTGAACAAATGAATATAAGTAAGTCAATTATATTGTAAAGATAGGGACTTCTTTAGGGTATGAAACACAAAGGGCACCAGATGTGGTGGCGCATGCCTGTAGTCCCAGCACTCTGGAGGCAGAGGCAGGAGGATCTCTGTGGTTCAAGGTCAGTCTGGTCTACATAGTGAGTTCCAGACCAGCTGAAGCTGTAGGGAGACCCTGACTCAAAGAGACCAAAACAAACAAACAAACAACCCGTAGAGGCCACAGTATTTATTACAGTGGGGGGCATCTTGCTCCCATTTGAACCTTCAAATTCACACTACCAGTACCATTGTTTCCTAGTGTCAAGGTATCAAAGAAGGTCACTTGGAATGAACTTAGAGGAAAGGGATATGAAGACTGCTGTACAATAGGGCTGTTTCTAGTTGTCAGAAGACAACATGCTTGGGGGTTCTCACCAGCACGAGCCAACGGGAATAACGAATTCTTTTCTGAGTTCTTTTGTGGCATCTCCCCGCCCCGTTTCTGCTTTCTGTCATGTAGCTCATGTGGTTAGACCAACTCTGCTGGTCATGGTTTCAAGCCTGCACTGTGCTCTTCTGAGCCCACATCATAGCTCCTTTGGAGAGAGGTTGTCTAAAGCCCCCAAATCCTTTATTGTCATTCTTCATGTTAAATACCCTGTGTCTTTCTATAAACCTGCACACATTCCCTTATTTTGTTCAGTTCTCCATTGAACGAGCTTTACAGGTACATATTGTTAAAAGTCAGATAGCCTACAGGACTGATGAAAAACAAGCCTCAGGCCCAATTCCTGCTTCCTACAAACACCCACTGGCCAATTCTATCAACTTTGTTAGCAATTTCTTTTTAGATTTCCAAATAACATTCATATTCTGTTATTTGTTAATTTTCTTGCAAATGTAGACACTGTCTACTGATTTCACTGTATGGAAAGAAATCAGCCTCTATTTTTAGATTTATTTAATTTTTATTTATGCATATATGTGTGTGTCTGAGCCTATGCCACGTGTGTGGAGGGGCCCTCAGAGGCCAGAAGGAAGTATTAATTCCCCTGGAGCTGGAGTTACAGGTAATTGTGACCTGCCCTATGTGGGTGCTGGTAACTGAATGTGGGTCCTCTGGAAGAGCAGCAAATGTTCTTAATTGCTAAGCCATCTCTCCAACCCCAGGAATCAGCTCCCCTTCCTCCTCCTCCTGTTGTGCTTCTCTTTTTGTGCAATGTATATTTTTTACTGAATTTTTGTACATTTCATACAATACATCTGAATCATATTTAGACCCCCCCTCTTCTATCTGTACCTTCCCTATAGCCCGCCTGCAGCATTTCATGTATTCCGGCTTATATGTTAAAGACCATCGAATCAAGTTTGTATGCCCAGATGTGCCTCGGTTTGAGTTTATCCTCTGGAGCCTGGTTATCCTATCCAGAGTCACTCCGTTAAAGAATATCAACTCTCCCTCACCCAGCAGTAATCAGCTGCCAATGGTTCCTCAGCTAAGGTTGGGGCCTCCTGCCCATTGCCCTAATTCTGTGCTAATTTTTGTCTGCTTGAGCTTGCATGGGTCTTATGCATGCTGTCACTATTGCTGTAAGTTCCTATGAACGAGAATCAGCTTCTTATACATACATATAAATCTCACTCGCACTCATACATATAAATCATTTCCTACCTCACACCCTCAATGTAGTCACATTTAAACATTTCAGTTAAAGCAACAGGACTGTTCAAACAATTTCCGTTTACACCTAAGGCATGCAGTTCAGTATGAACACATTTCCCTTTTTGCTTTTCCTCATTTTTTAAAAATCTTTCTTGTTTTCTATGTATGTATCTGTCTCAAAGCACATGTAAACTTCTTACTAGGAAATGTCTTTCAACATGATCAAACAAGGCCATAACCTATTCACGCCATTTTATGTTTCTTGGAGGCACCCCTCTGGAACCCCACATGGTCCTGCTCTGTCTGCTGACTGAGTTCTCTCTAGGCAGAGTGGTCATCTCCTTCATCTTTTTCCTGAATGACTGGGTTTTAGTTTTTCATTTTAGTGGAGTACATCCTTCACTAGCTTCCTCAGAGATGGTGAATGAAATGTAAAGTTTTAGAGATACTGCATGTCAGGTACTCTCAAAATTGATGGATGGTTTAATGATATGATTCACTATGTAAGTTTGACTGGGCCACAGGATGTGCAAACATTTGGTCAAACATTACTGTAAGCATGCCTTCAGGAGTTCGACCTGAGAGAGTGAGCTTTGAATTAGCAGATGGTGGAGAGCAGAATGTGGTAGGCTTCAGAAAGGCTGCATTTCCCCTCCTGTCCTCAGCTGGGAGGAGAGTCTCTTCTGGACTCCTGAGGCTGAACTATTACTTCTTCTAGAGTCTTGAGTCTGCTGGGTTCCGGACTGGAACCCCATCATCAGCTCTCCTGAATCTCAGGCCTGAATCAAATCATGGTCTCTTCTAGGTTTCCAGGATTCTGAGTACAGATTTTGAGACTTCTAGTCTCCATGGTTATGTGAGTCAGCTCCTTAGAATAAATCTCTGTTACTGCATCTCTCTGTCTCTGTCTCTGCACATACACAGGCAAAGAGAGGGAGAAGCACAGAGATAAAGAGACAGAGAGATACACAGAGAGATACAGAGAGGGCGAGAGAGAGCTCTAACTCTTGCTCTTTTTTTTTTTTTCCAAATACTTATTTTTTAATTATACTCATGTGTCCGGGTGTGGCTATATGCACATGAGTGCAGGTACCCAAGGAGGCCAGAAGCATTGGATCCTTCTGGAGCTGGAGTTACAGGAAGTTGTGAGCCACATGAAGTGGGTGCTTGAAACCAAACTCTGTCCTCTAGAACAGCAAGAGCTCTTAATTACTGAGCCCTCGCTCCGGCCCTTCTTTTCTTTTCCCCTTCTTTATAGGTGATTTCCTCATTTCTAATTGTATTTTTTTTAAATTGTATCAATATATTTCGACTTTCAAGATTTTTTCTCAGTGACCTCCTCACCCTACTTCCTTTTAAAATACTGTTTCTTCTTTTATAGAAACACTTTTTTCAAGTCTCTGTGAAATAAAATTTCCTTCTCTCCTTCCTGACTTTGTTCACTCATTGTGCAAAGCCCCCATAATGTCCTGACTTCCTCTTTGTTCTGGCTTCCTTCACATGGGTTATCCATTCTCTAGTATAGGTGGGCTAATCAATCACCAGGCATCACTTTGGAGAAGTCAGGCAGTGAGCTCTTTTTGTTTTTTTCATGACTTCAAATGTTATATTTAGCTTCTCCAAACAGGATTCTTCCAAACTCTTTCTTGGGAGGACAAGCATGGTTGCCAACTGTGGTGTCAACTGAATAAGCACGTCCCCCATAGGCTCCAAGTATTTGGACATTTTTGTCCCCAGTTGGTGGTGCTGTTTTGGGAGGTCTTAGAGGAAGGATGTCACTGGTTTAGAGAGTTCTTAAGTCTTGTGGGATCTCCAGTCCCTCTTTGCTTCCTGTGCCTGCTTGAAGATGTGAGAGCTTAACTTCTGCTCATATTCCAGCCACCTCTGCCACCATGCTTCCTTGGCCATGATGGACTCTTACCCCATTGGAACTCTAAGCTAAATAAACTCTTCCTTTTATAACTCCCTTGGTCATGGTGTTTCTATCACAGCAACAGAAAAGTAACTAATTCAGAAATTGGTGCCAGAGAGTGGGGTATTGCTGTGACAGACATGACCTTGGTGTTTTGGGGAGGATTGTGGAAGGATTTGGAACTTTGGGCTGAAAAAGCCATTGAGTGCTTAGAGTTTGTTGATGTGGAGCTTGAAACAGTTATGCTGAAAGAGTTGTAGACGATGGAGGCCTGGCTTGTGAAGCTTCAAAGGGAAGCAGAGACTATCAGGGCTGTTTGTGTGATGTTTTGAATTAGGAATCTAATTCAAAGTCAGCTGACTTTGGTTTTGCTTAGGTGTGCCTGATTCTTCCCTTTGGGTTCTGGTTGGCTGAGGCAGAAGAATCAGCTGTCATTAAGAAGAGACCAGAAACTAAAGTAAAACCTTTGCTTTACTGGGACAATTGATGCTGGTTAACTGGGGCTGAAAAATCACCTGTAAGCAAGAAGAGACCAACATCACTGTGGTGAAATGTTCTGGGAAGTATTTCCTCTGGGACAACACATGGAAGCTGTGGTCCAGAGGGGCCCAAGTCTCCATCTCAATCTGGAAACAGGACTTGGAAATGTGTAAGAGTCTCATGCATGGCTGTGGTGTTGAAAGTGTGACGGGATCACAGAGAACATCTGAGGCTTGGTACTTTGAGAGGCCAGGAAAAGCCGTTGGTGAAAGTGCAGCCTCAGTTGCAGTGAAGACCCCAGGATTGAAGGGGTCATGGAGAGAATCCGAGGCATTGCACCCTGAGAGGCCAGAAGAGGTCACTGCTGAGAGTACAGCCTCAGTTTCAGTGGAGACCCCAGCTTTTTAGAGATGCCAGGACCATGGGACGACCACCAAGGGCAGCAGCAGGTGTGAAATGGAGACGGCCTGGGTCTGTGAGACGAGCTGTGTGCTGTGGATGGCAGAGTCAGAGAAGTAGAGCTGCCAAACCCTTTGAAGCCCAGAAGATCACAAGTGAATCCCAGCTGTCCAGGCTTGAGCTACTTTGCTGGACTTTGGTTTTGCTTAGGTGTGCCTGATTCTTCCCTTTGAAATACGATAGTACTTGTTTGGATTTTACAGGAGCCCACCTACAGTTAAAAGACTTTTAAAAGAGACTGAACTTTTAATTGTTTGGATTTTTTTTAAGGATTGTGGGACTTTTAAGGTTGTACTGTCTTATGTGGTGATATTAATGTTAAGATCCTATCTTGGGGACAAAAAATGGAAAGGTTGTGGTTTTAATAATGTTGTGTTTGTGTGTCAAGCTGACAAGGGGTCAATTGTGCTGGATAGCTTTAGTGTCAACCTGACACACCTGGGTTGAGGGAGCCTCAACTGGGGAATTGCTTCCATTGGACTGGCCTATGGCCATGTCTGTGGGGCATCTTCTTGATTACTGAGTGATGTGGGAGGGCCCAGCCCACTGTGGGGTGCCATCTCTGGGCAGGTGGCCCTGTGTTATATAAGAAAGCAGGCTGAGCAGGGGCCAGGAAGCAGGCCAGTAAGCAGCGTTCCTCCATGGCCTGTGCTCCAGTGCCTGCCTCCAGGTTCCTGCCCCGAGTTCCTACCTTGGGTTCTCTGATGAACTGTGACATGTGAGATGTAAACTGAATAAACCGTTTCCTCCTCAAGTTGGTTTTGGTCAGACTGTTTTGTCATAGCAATGGAGAGACGAACTAGAACACCAACCTTTCAGGAGCTAAGTGGACAAAGGAAGGGTGCTTCCATGGTAGTCTGTGTATGAGTGCATGTGTGGTATGTGCATGTGCACATGTGTGTGCATGCATGTGCATGTTCACATGTGTGTGCATGTATGTGTCCTCAATGTTTTCATCATCTCACCGAATGCAAATGTTCCCTCTTTGCAGGCCTCAAGATGGTGGCCTGCATGCTGGGCTCAGGCCTGGGCTCTGGGGGACTCCCTCCTACCCTTTTTCTCAACAATCCTATTTTCAGCCCACTGGACACCTCTATCCTGTGATCTTCCTACAGTCTCAGTTCTTGGGCCTTTCTGGTTTCTGTGGGATGAATGGATCATTTTGATAATGTTCCTCACTGTAGATTTAGAATTCAGCATTTCCAGATCTGCTACGTCTGTCCCCAGCCGCCTGGCCACTCTTGTTCAATTTTATGGCCGTCTCTTATGTAGTGGGTTCTCTTCCCTTGATCCTTTCGACCTTGTGGATTTAATGCATTTTTCATTCGTTTATTGTCATTTTAACGGGGCTTTGGGAGACGTACACATAGATATTCAGACAGGAGTCCAGCACTTTATTCTAAATGCATTCTTAGAATTTCATCAATCTAACTTTTGGGGGAATCATTCAAGTACACTTTATGGTCTAGCAACATCTTAAACTGGCAACGTACCCATCAACAGTTGATAGGAAACAACAAATAAACTTAGTCAAACGATTGGGATTGAGTACACCTGCCGATCTCAGCCTCTCCTGGCTGGAGACTTACCAACTTTGTAATGTATACAGCCTTCCAGATCCCCAACCGTGATCCAGCCTTGTTTCTTTTCCACTTCCGGGTCATTGTGTAGTATTCTGTTTCTTAACCATGAAAGATAATAAACTCGTAGCTTGTTCTTCTTTCCTGTTGAAATGATAGAGCTTTAACGTCACGGCCCTGATGGCCTTTCCTCTTTCCTTCCTCACCTCCCCCTTATTTTCTGTTCTTACTGGCATCTGTGTGTTTGCGAGGCACTTCCTCACTGTTACCTCTATCAGGACCTGAGGTTAAGATAGATCCTAGCGCCCTGGACAAATCACAAAATTACAATGTTTTTATCTTCAAATGGTTTCTTATTTGAGCAAAGTGCCCTTATTCTCTCTCCTCAGTGTCTGCTGAAATTGGATCTAACTCTGTAACAGAGTTCCAGAACATTCTAGGCCGACTCTCATGAAGGAGTGTTGGCAGATGGGCATTTTAGCCTACCTATGTCTTTCTCCTTCCCTCACGCTCTTTCCTGACGGCAGATGGTAACAGCTCTTGTTTACCAGCTCTACAGCTTCGAAGATGACCACTACTAACAGTGTCATTCCCTGACAAGATGAAGGAATTTCAACAGGACACAGAGAGACAAGTTCAATGAAAGCAATTCGAGTTCAGAAAATGATAGTAGACAAACTTCCAGTGCTGAGGGCACCAAGAGGAACATCAAACAAAAACGGTAAAGAAGAAAGGATGAGGCTGGATTAGGAATAAATTTAAAAAAATCTTAAAAGTTCCCCTTGGTCAGGTGATCTAAAGAATTTACACGGTGATAAGAAACCATCTAGATAGCATGGAACAGTTTACAGATAGCAAAATTTAACACACTCTATTGGATTATCTGAGTACCAGAAGAAGAAAATGCATTATTTTGAAGGGTCTTTCTTAGTAATGAGTAATTTAGGCCTATGAGTTTTGTCAGATATTTTACTTTGATTTCCCCTTGGCTTTAAGGAAGTTTTATCTTTTACAAATGGGATAAATGCTAGAAGATGAGAATTCAGGAGAGCATCACACACTGATCGGACACGGCACACTCCGAGTAGAAGCTGTGGGAAGCACTGTGTAGCTGCTGTAGGTCTGGGTAAACTGAACCCTAGAATGCTGCTGCTCATGAGGGCCACTGTGAGGAGAGCCAGTGCTCCTTCCCTTCTGTACCAGTGGGAATCTGAGGACAGTTCAAGGCTTTCCTTCCTTTCCTTATCTGTTTTCTCCATCAGTGCTCCACGGTAAGAGGCTACCGACCTTACACCCTGAAGGATGACTTTGTGTCACTAACAGCATGATAAACTCTCAACTTGAGATTTCTGGTAGCATTTCCACCTTGGATAGATGACTGGCAGATGTGTAGATTCAGTTTTGATTTGGCAGTGTAGTACTCAAGAGATCAATTAGCCAGAAAAAAGGACCACACAGAAGTTAAATCAGAAGAGAAGTAGATGTTCTTGGTTAACTTGTATTTGTGGATGATAAAACTCTAAAAGTTCAGTAAAAGGTAGAATAAGAAGGGAATTACAGTGCCCAGAGAAGGCATTTCCCTCAAAATACAAGCATAGCTGGATAGTTAAACTTTCATCTTCAAGGCTCAGCCTGGAAAGCCATGTGTCTCTTGGTGCCATTCAAGACGGAATGGAGCCCACAAATGAGGCTGCATGAAGGGAACTTGTCGGGCCATTAATACAGGATGTGTGAGCTTTACCCCTGAGATTCTGACACTTGTCTAGGTGCAGCTGGGGCTTTCTCTTCTCCCTAGGTGGTTCTAACACATCAGTGGTACTGTTGATTTTTATTGTTAGTGAAGGAAGGAAGGAAGTGGATTATTTGTTCAACTCTCAAACACCATGAGGAAGAAAATAACTTTCCTTTCAATAAACTTGGAGTCTAGATGCATTTTCCACTTGTTAGTTTTGAGACTTAGTTTCTATTCAAATAAGGTGTTGTGTCCATTACTAAAAAGCTCCGTTTAAGAACCAGAGTGTTGTAAAAATGTACCAGTAAGGACTCCCCCACTCCATGCTTTGTAGAATCGATTACCCAGCAGTGTATCTGTCCTTTTCAAAGATGGGTGAATTATAGCAGCAGTTGTTGTAAGAGGAAAGACTAGACAAATTTCTGCTTGCTAAATTTTCTTCCCCAGAGTCTACATTTTTATATTCTTCATCGCAGAGTCTATGATAATAACTGCAGTTCGAGCAATTTCAAAATATTCTTTCTGAGTCTGATGGAGTTAAAGGCCTATAAATACACAGCTTTTGACATACTTGTCTGCCTCACTCAGCTTTAATGAACAGTTCAGTCTTCCTGTGTAGGTCAAACCCTCCAGCACTGCAAAATGTGTGAGTGATCTCCTGGCTACACTGTTGTACCTTCTTGTGTTGTGTTGGCTGGACAGAGCAGGGCAGAGCTACCTGTTTCTTCAGAAACCAGAAGGTCACCTTTCCCATCTGTGTAATCTAGAGAACCAGGTTGGCCTAGTAACATACCTGATATTGTCACAAGAACATTTAGCCCTTCTAGCACATCCATCTGCTGAAATCGCCTCCGGTTGATCAGATTGTAGACTTTGCCTTGCCCACTTCTGTCCAAAAGCATCAAGCCATTTTCAGTTCCCACCAGAAGGTTTACACCTGCAAATTTAAGAATGACTTTTTTATGGGCTTTAACCTTTTGCAGCTCAGTTCCTATGAAACCCAAGAAATTGTTTCATGTTGATGTAAATAAACAAGCAGATGGATGCTGTGGTAGCATAGAGGTAGGAGCTCTGGCAGTACGTCCATCTCTGTTCCTCTGGGGATGGAATTACAGTTTTCTTTTATAAGTTGGAAACAACAGTACATTGCACCCAGCCATTTACTACTTAGTTCCAAGGGTGCTCGCCAAGAGGAGCTACGCAAGCAGCACACACACCCCCACTTTATGCAGCAAGCACTCCTTCCTTGTCTCTCCCTGTACACCCCACTTCTCTCTTCCCCAGAGTTCCCTACACATCTATTCATACACTGATTTTTTGTTGCCAGCCTATCTACCTTCAGCATATAACAGTTTCTACTTCCAAACTCCATCAGAATCAAAGCCCTTCCTCCTTTTTACACAAAATTTAATTATCTTAGGGCTGGAGAGGTGACTCAGTGATTAGCAGCACTGGCTGCTCTTGAAGACAACCTGGGTTTGGTTCCCAGCACTCACAGGGTGGCTAACAACCACCTGCAACTCCAGTTCCAGGGGACCTATCACCCTTTTCTGGCCTCCATGGGTATTTCATGGCATGGGTGTACTTACATACATGCTAGTGAAATATTCATACACACAGAATAAAAATTAATTTAAAATGCAACTATACTATATGCAATATATTTAAAGTTCTATTCTTGTCAGGGAATTCAAGAGAAGCCATGAATAGACTGAGAGACACAGTGATATTGACATTAAAGAGTTCTCAGTTACCTAATTCTCCTCCAGCATTACCCGCATGCAGTGATCCTTATCTTAAAGGTCTGGTGGGTAAATGATCTCAATGGGACAACTCTAATCCTAAATCTGCACACCTAAGGAAATCAGCCATCCATCTACTGAAACACATACACACTGAGATGTCACTGTGTAGTGGACTATATTCATGAACATGTAACTCTTGAATGTCTCCTGTTATACTTCTGGAAACATGAATGTCCACTTCCTAAGCTGCTCCATGTTAAATGTGGTTATTTTGTTCTCCAACTGTCTCATCTCCATAGTCCAGAACCTTCATTCCTTACATGAAATGATGCCCAAGTACCTGCTAACATCACAAATGTTTTTAGCTTTGTAAACTAATGGTGCCCCAATCCAAGCCCAGCAGTGGAGATGGGTCCAGAGGGACCACATCCTGATTTTCCCATGATATTTAAGTAATAGATCAGGACTTTGATAGACTCTCGCCACAGCTATTCTGAGTTTGAATTTGTCTAATATTTGTGAAATTTTTGGTGAGAACTGTAGACTAATGTTTTCAACTGAAAGGGAAGGCTCATCCTTTGTTCTTCTGTTCCAGTTTTAGCCAGTTACTGCTGATGGCAAGGCCTGGGGCAGGTCACTAAAATATGCTGGGTTTTCAGTTGTGAAAGGAAGGTGATGCCATTGATCCCTTGCAGGATGGGGTATGGATTACAGAACTGGAATATGGGATACTCTGTACAGTGCTGAATGCATAGCTGTGTGTTGTGGCTAGTTCCGTCACTGATAATCACCTGTCACTCTAGATGCCATCTTCTTATCAGGGTATTAGCATTTTACATATAAACCCACTTTTAGTCTCTCTTGAAGTTAAGACAGTCCCAAGTCAGCTTCCTAGCACCTACAATTCGCCTAGTGTATTTTGACAGTAAGAACCATAGGCTTTCAACATCCGAGGGTCAATTCATTAATTAGTGAAAAAAAATTACCAACATACCCCACAGAGCTGCACAAAGTATTTCCGAATTGAATCGTTTCTTGTATTTTCTGATTTCCGGCGTGTCACTATGAGGGCGAATGTTTGTTGGGTTTACATTTACCACTGAAATCTTCCTTGCTTCGTTGAGTTTGGCCTGCTCTTGTCTAAGAAGTTCGCTAGTAAACAGGGCTTTGAAAGAAAGAATTAGAGAAGTGAATAGCATCTTAAAAGACAACCAATGGCAATATGGAAAAATGGCTTTGCTTAGTGTGTATTATGGTAAAAGCACAGAAACTCTGAACCTATACTTATTTTACACTCTTTTTAGTAGAATAAAGCATGTCATTCACAGAAGTAGTTTTATTCATTAGGAAAACAAGCTTATAGACACTCCTTGGATAGTTCAGAAAATTAGTATTAACCTCACAGAGTCAAATATGCCATCCTTATAATTACATGCATGGGACATTTACTTTTGGAAATTTAACGCATCACCTGAAAAGTTGGCCTAAGCTGACTTTAGTGATTAGTGAGTTGCAAGTGGTCAAGAAGCAAGACCATCCTCTTAATTAGCCAGACCTGTGATGGAGGTGCACATTTAGAATGCAACACAACTCAACATCCACTTAGTGAGCGCATGGCACCACAGTACTTTGTGTATCACATTGTACCCAGAAACTGCTTTTGGGAGATATGTGGTAAGTTTGGAGATTGCTGTGAAATGGCTTTTCCTAGGGTTCCTGGATACTTCTGGGTTTCTTCCAGAACCAAAATACGAAAAATTGGGTGTGGGACGGGGGAGGGGGAAGGAAGGAGGGAGGAGAAAGTAATTTGTTTTAGGAGTTCCACCAAATAATAAAGTTTTTAAAGTTTTCATTTTGAGACAGGGAATAAGCATTAAATGGTATAACCACTGAATTAATGATGAATTTCTTTTACTAGGTTATAACGAAAGGAAGTCAGACTGTTTCAAAAACACTGGAGCTGTCTTGCTTACCGGCAGCGGTTGACTCTTCATCCTCTTCATCTTCATCAGTGGGTGAAGTCTGATATACTCTGGGGTCCACAAAGGGGGTAAAGGAGGCTTTGGTGCTGCCCCCAAGGCCATACTGATCAAAAAACAAGAAGGAAAGATAAATACTGCAGGAACAGGGGATGCTAAGAACACTTTGCTCAGATGTGATGATGCTTACAGATGCCTCTGCTACTCAGCTGTTCACAGGGAGAGGGTGGGCCTCTTCTGCCAATTTCTCCTGCCACTGTGCATGGGTAGGGCTTCATCAGTGATCAGACTATGAGTATTTCATAAAGAAAATTACATTTTGTATGATACATGGTACCTTGATATGTATAGTCATTATGGCGGCAGGATCTCTACTTTTCAGTCAAGTCAATCATGTATTGATCAAATGGTCTTGAGAAAAGCAAAATCTAGGTAGTCATGTCGACATGGTTATACCCCACCCTGGACACATAGTCAATCCGAGACTCCTTGGAAGGTGGCCTCTCGGCCTGTGTACTTTGGACTGGTGATGCATGTGGACTGGTATTGGCTCTAAAAGCTTTAAAATATGTAAGCAAAGATTATTTAGTCCAGGGATTGATTTTTTTCCCATAATGTATCTCTCTCTCTCTCTCTCTCTCTCTCTCTCTCTCTCTCTCTCTCTCTCCCTCCCTCCTTTACTTTTTGTCATTTTTTTGAGACAGGGTCTCCCTGTAGGCCCAGGATGGCCTTGATCTCAGAGGTTCACCTGTCGCTGCCTCCAAGTTCTGGGACTAAAGGTGAGCACCACCACACCCAGCTCCATAATGGTTTCTTTATGAGGATGCTTACATTACATGCCTTATGTGGGGATTACATGAAGACAGTGGGTTTGTATGCAATGTACCTTGAGGGCTTACTTTAAAATAAATCTCAAGGGCTTGGAGACTTATCATGATGACATGAAATCAGAACTAGACTACAGAATAATAAGTTCAATATTATCACTTTCTGCTATAATATTTTAGAAGGAATTTTGTCAAGAGCTGCTACAATCACTTGCCCACTTTGTCTATTATCTTTATTTCTCTAGTTATCCTTTGTGTGTGTGTGTGTGTGTGATGTATGAGTTTACATGTGCACATGTGTGTAAGTGGGACTAATATCTTATATCTTCCTTGATCATTGATTCATTCTCTTTCTCTCAGCCTGGAGCTCATCCATTCAGTGAGACTGGCAGGGCAGTGAGCTTCAGGGATCTACCTGTCTCTGTTCTCTTCCATCTACAGTACAAGGGTTACAGACATATGCCACCACACCTAGCTTTCTACATGGGCGACAGGGATCAGAACTCTGGTCTTCACACTGTGTGGCAGCCACTTTACCAACTGAGCCATCTCCCCAGACCTTATTCATCCTCTTAACTTCACAAACTACCTGTATTCAGCACCATAAGAGCCCTTTGTGAATATTCCTGTTTTGGCTGTAAGTTTTATTTTTAGTTTCTTATTAAAAAATAAATAAATAAAATAAATATTATAAAAAAATAAACATTCCCAAGCCCCAATCATATAAGGACAAACCCAGAAAGATTCAATTTGATTTCCTTCAAGATTTTTCCCTTCTCCTTTGAATTCAGAATCCTTTCATCCTCCTCAGGGTAGGAACCCACCTTCCGAATGCAATACTTTCATATACAGCTTCTCTTTCATCTTTAGAAGTCCATAAAGGAGGTGGGACAGGCATAGCACTCCCTCTTAGGGCTGGGACAGTCACAGTATCAGAGTCAGGGTTCTGCTCTGTGGGGTCCTCCTGGGTACTGACAGAGGACTGTAGGCGAAAACCATCTGCCTACACTGCATGGAACTCCAACAGGTACTGTTGTTGGGGAACCCTGCTGTTAGGGTCGCAGTCTCTCCATGTCCGGATAGCCGCGAGCCGGCTCGGCGCCTAATGGAAAGACTCCCTTTTTCAGCGGGGCGCCTCCTGCTCTCTTCCTGGCTCACCTTTGAAGTGCCCGCCGCAGATGCCTTACCTGAAACATGACCTCTGGCATAGAAACTACCAGGCTTTAATCAGGCACTGTCTGACAGCATAGAAGCCCACCTCCACATGTAAATGAAGCATCCTACAGAGCACCTATCAGCTGAGGCTTTTGCTACTGCCTCCACACTATAAATCTTCTAGTTTCACCCTAATAAAGCGGAGCTGTATCACTGAATTTGTCTGGAGCTGAGTTGTGTTTCACTGTGCCTGGGACCCGCCTGTGAGCAGTCTTCCCGGAAGAAGCTGTCCTTCCGTCAACATTCACTTGCGAAACTTCTGTTTGCTGTTCCTGCGCTCCCCCCCCTCGGCTCGTGGGATGGTGGCCAACGTCCTGCAGGCACAGTGAGAGCCTCCCGCAGCTAGCCTGAGCCTCCTGCAGCTTGGCGCAGAACCCGCCCGGCAGCTTGCAGCCCTCTGCAGAGCCGCCAGCGCCCGGCGCGCACCGCCGATCTGCAGAGCCCGGCCTGCACTCCCCAGCAGCCGCGGAGATAGAGAGAAAGAGACCCCCCCCCCCCCCCCCCAGCATACTGTGCTTCCAAAGAGGCCCCTGTGTTCTTGCCCTTGGGGTGGCAAAGGTCATAAGCACTGCAGAAATTCAGTGTATGGGTGATGTCAAAACCAACAGTGCACATGCTTTATAAAAACATTTAGGGCTTTCTGTGTCATCCACAGGGGTTATTACACGCTATCACAAAACAGAACTTGGCCTTAAACTCATCCATTGCTATCAAAACACTGTCCAATTGTGTTCATCCAGGCTCTCACCTAGAACTACTTTTACATGAGAAAGACATCTTATTTTTTTCTTCTGGTACAGTTTGAAGTAAGAACCTATCTCTTACCTATTTAGAAGACAGTAGGAATCTATCATTTTTCATAAATCATTTCAATTTCACTTTAAGTCAAACTCACTTTGACTAAATTAATATAAATGCGAGCCCCAAATCGCACTAGTTTTACCATTAATTTGTGACACAGGGGGTCTAAGTTCTGGTTCAAGCATTGTCACAAACTGGCTGTGTGTCTCTGGCATGTCATTTAACCTCTCTGAGTTTCAGCACTCTTGATTCTTATCTGTATGAACAGATATTGGTGTAGCTGATGTATGAGAATGTTTCATTGCTGTGTCTTTGATTTCTCTGAGTATTTGCGTGAGTAGCCTCACAGCAGAAATCAACTAAACATTTCAGAGAGTCTGGCGAAGCCTTGTTCCTGAAGACAGCAGGGTGCAGAACCCTATGAAGGAGAACAGAACTGTCATGGCTACACCTTCTGGCACCTACCTCAGTCCCGGAGTCCATCTCCTGGGAGTGGGTGGACACACGGCCCAAGCCCTCTGTGGGAGTTCCAGCTGGGGAATGGCTCTGCTGCACAAGGTCTGGGAGATTGATGTGACCTGCAAAGCCATTGCTGTCACTGTGGCCAGATCGCTTCTTCTCTTCAGCTGTCTGAGGGGCACAGCACACAGGGCCATTAGAAAGAGAGAGCAAATCACAGAGCATCACTCCTCATACATCCTAGATGCAAGGGACCCCCAAATGGTCTACTGGGGAAAACAGGATAGTAACATTCAAATTCAAATTTCTACTTTGTCTAGGACATTACACTTTGTTAAAATTGAGTGAATGAATTGACTCTAATGACTTCTGCTTCTCCATGAAGAGATGGTCAAGGGTCACATTTGGCATGATGGTCCCCCTGTGAGATGCCAGAAAGTGGAACACTGAGTCAGGACCACACCCACCAAGTTTCTCCTCTGCAGTGTGTGTGTGTGTGTGTGTGTGTGTGTGTGTGTGTGTGCGCGCATGTGCGCCAGTGGCATTCACAGTCAATTGGATATACAGACCATATTGCCAGGTTAGAATGAACCAATCCCCCAAATACTGCCAAAAGAAGCAGAGGGCTGAGATAACACTGAGATACTTCTCCCCTAAACTGTATTCTAAGAAGATGCAGAGATAATATTTGCCCTCCTTGTCTTACTCCCTGCTCTATCTCTTTATTTAGTGTTTTTGAATGCCTACTGATCATGAAGTGGGTTACTCTACGGAACAGCTGGGAACAGGTAGGTATATTCCCTACCCTTTGGGGCTGATGTGGGCAAGGGTTTATGCCATTTCTCTGGCCATCCCACTGGTCTACTATGACGGCTAATATCCATCATCAACTTGAATAGATTTGGAATCACCTAGGAGACTCATCTGGGGCATATTTGTGAAGGTGTTTCTAGAAGGGTTTAAGTGAGGAGGGAAGACCCACCCTAAATGCAGGCTGAGTGACCAGTTGGAATAAAAGTGGGGAAAAGGAGCAGGAAAGCCTGATGGACACCATTCATCTCTCTGCTTCCTGACTATGGACATCATGTGAACAGCCGCCTCATGTTCTTACCAACATGGCTTCCTCACCATGATGCGCTATATTTCCTCAAACCCTGGGCCTGAACAAACCTTTCCTTCCTTAAATGGTACTTGACAGATGTTTAGTCAGAGTGAAAAAGAAACAACAAATACACAGGCTTCTTCCAAAGTCTGTCTTGGCTGTGTAGTTATAACTCTGTGTGTGCCTCATTCCATAAGTACAAAGACATGTCCTTTGGTGTGCATGAGACAAAACAGACTCCTAAAGCTCATGAAGGGGTATGATTCATCCATGAGGAAACTTGAGAAATGACCAGAAAGCCTAGCATCATCTGTTTTCTGGATGACAAACTGTCCCAGTGTGGGTCCTTTCCTTAATTCATTTTGTCACAGTGCTCATCTGGAGCTTGCGTAGATGCCTCTTCCCAGAGCCGAGCATTTCATCTTCTAAGTGACATTTAGGGAGTCCAGTTCGCATTCATCTTAGTGTCCTTGATTGAATGTGTGCTTGGAAACTTCTCTTTTCTTCCAGTATCTGTTGAATACTGAAAAGTCTTTTGGCATCTCCCTCCTCCCCTAATTTCTCAACAGCATTAATCACACCTTGTCACTTGAGAACTTTCCAGTTTCTCTTGTACCAGTAGCACCTCTCCCCTGCTGCAAAACTGGCATAGACAGAGAGATACCGGAAGTAATAACCCTTGAATCTACTCACTTCTGAGTCATCATCCTTTGGTTCAGTCAACCAGCACCTTCTTTAAAAGATTTATTTTTATATTATGTGTATGCATAAGTGAATGTATAGATGTGTGCATGCCTGGTGCCCACTGAGGTCAGAACGTGGCCCCAGATCCCCTGGAACTGGAGATATAGGAGGTGGCGAGTCACCATGTGGGTGCTGAGAACTAAACCCAGGTCCTCTACAAGAGCAGCTAGTTTGAGCCATGTCTCCAGCCCTAACTAGCACTTTCTTATCAAACACCTTCGCTGTATTAGAAGTTCTTCTGGGAACACAAAAGTAAATGAACAATAGTTCTGCTCTCTAGAACTTCATGAACAGAAGCCCAACAACGTTGCTGATTTTGATGGCTTCAGCAGTTCTAAGTGGATGAGCACAATGATTTTGTGTATTCTCACATATACCAGGTACTGTGCGGAACATTCTGTGTGCCAATCCCCCAAATACACAGGGTATCCCCCGTGAATCCTCGTGGTAATACTGTGCGTTAGCTTCCATTAGCCCTACTTTACAGACAGAAAAACTGCAGTATGAGAGTCAAGTGATAAAGAGTTCTAAGTGATGTTTCAAGTCTGAGATGTTAGGTTGTGGAGCCCAGAGGGGAGATGCACTGGGAGGGGAAGACCACTACTGTCACAGCTGCTTGGACCAGGAGTGGGCACCTGAGCCAAATGAGATAAAATTCCCAGGTAAATTTAACATGTAGACTGAGAGTCAATCTTTGCCAGTAGGATGTGGTAAAGATCTTGCAATGGAGCAAGAAGAGATGAAATTAAAAATAAAAGAAATATAGAGAGAGAGAGAGAGAGAGAGAGAGAGAGAGAGAGAGAGAGAGAGAGAGAGAGGCTCTGGAGAGACAACAGAAGAGTGTGGAGGCAAGCTGATGAGGGCAAGGAGAGACGGCAGCAACGCACACACGCCAGCTGCCTAAGCCCTGGTCACATTTAGCTTCTGGCCCCACAGCCCTACACAGGGACCCAGCTATTTTGAGATCTTTCCACGAAATGGTCATGGAAATATTCTTCTATGAACATTGACTCTTTTTTAAAAAAAAAACATTTTATTTATTATTTTTATTTTATGTGTATGAGTGTTATGCCTGCATATAGGTAAGCACACCCATGTTGTGCAATGCCCATGGAGGACTGAAGAGGCTGTTGGATCCCCTGGAACTGGAGTTACGGACAGTTGTTAGCTGCCATGTGGGTGCTGGGATTCGAACCTGGGTCTTCTGCAAGAACAACCGGTGTTCTTAACTGCTGAGCCATCTCTCCAGCCCTGAATATCAATTCTTATTTTTGTGTTCTTTACAGCTGTCCCATTTTTTCCCCCTTAGGCTCCATTAAAGTAGGTTCTTTTTATTTATAACCAAAAGGAACTTCATGACACAAGCCAGTGTTCTGACTCAGCTGGGTGGAAAGGACATAACTGACTTTAGGAAGGTGTTATAAAGAGAGGTACACTGAGTCCCAGGAAAAGCTTCTAGAAGAAATGGAAGGTTATGGCAGAAAGGAATGGGCAGGAATAAGCCAGGGAGAAGTGTTTTGATGGATGAGTCACTGTAGACAAAGTGGCTGATAACTCCTGATGCGTTACATTCTAGAACGAGAGAAGAAATGGATCTATGGAGTTGTAAGAGGGAAAAGCAGAATGGTACAACATGGGTGTGCACCACAGGGGCAATCTGCACACAACATATGATCATGGGCAGTATGGCCTGTCTTATAGAATCATCTTGTCCGCTCACATGAGAGTGAGATGTGAGTTCTTGGGGTCCACCTTGTGGAGCTGAACTAACAGAACAGTATCCTATAAGCTAAATCTTCTCATAATGAGTTATTTCACTTTCTTATTTTGTCAGAATTACACTTCCACCTGAACTACATACTTTTTGATACATGTATTTGAATGGGTTTTTATCTCAAGCCTTATACTATAGTTAATTTGATGTGCCAAACTGGCTGAACTTCTGGGTGCCTAGATTAAATATTATTTCTGAGTGGTTCTGAGTATCAATGAGATGAACACTTGAATTCATGGAGTAAGTAGATTATTCTCAAACTGAGTGGGCATCAGCCAATCTACTGTGGGCCAGAATAGAATGAAAAAGCAAAAGAATTTGCTTTTTTTTAAAAAAAAAAATTAGTGTGCCTGGGAGAGATCTGTGGGCATGTTTGTGAGATGGGTAGATATGTGTCATGTCATGCCTGTGGAGGTCAAAGGCCAATCTTGGCTCTTGGTCCTCAACATCCAGCTTGTTTGAAACCGAGTTTCTTGTTGGTCACTGCTCTGTACTCCAGGTGAGCTGGCCTTTGAGCTCCTGGAGATTCTCCTGTCTCTGCTTCCCATATTATCACAGGAAATCTGGGATCATAGGTGCATACTACCATGTCAGGCTTTATATGGGATCTTAGGATTCTAACTCAGATCTTCATACTTGTATGGAAAATGTTTTCACCCACTGAGTCATCTCCCAGCTTGCAATTTGATTCCTTTGCCTGTTCACCAACTGAGTTGGGACACCATGTCTCATCTTCACCTGGCACTGAACTGAGATTTATACCACTACAGGTATAGCAGATCATTGGATTTCTTGTCCTCCATAATCAAACTACTTCAGTATAATCCCATCCCCCCACCACAATATTCATTTTCATTGGAGAGTTTTAATGAACACAGTTTGTCATTTTAAGGGCCCATACTTTCTGAGGAGATGGCTTAGTTGATAAAGTGATGGCCTTGTAAGCATGAAGACCCGTGTTAAATCCCAAACTTATGTAATCCCAGAGTCCCCGGGCAGAGGCAGGTGGTTCCCTGGGGGCTTCCTGGCTTACTTGGTGAGCTTCAGGGCAGTGAGAGACACTGTCTTAAAAAAGAGAAAAATGAATGGTGCTTGAGGAAAGACACCCAAAGTGGTCCTCTGACCTCTTCACGAATGCACACACAAATCATATGCACACACACGTACCTACCTCTCCCTACATATATGCATACACAAAATTAAACACCACACTTGGTAAAAGTAGAGTTTGTAAACTAAGAGGACAAAAGGATCTGATGGTCCCTCCTCAGACCAAATTCGTGTAAGGCACAGGTGCATACAGTTTTCAAAATGATGGGTTGCCATTGCAGAATGCTAGATGCTTTGGATAATGTGGATGGCAACAGAACTGAAAATGTGGCTCTAAATGTCTACCTGGAGGTACTGATTCTGTCACAAAGACTCAAAGTTTCAACCACTTTAGGAATTGGTTGTTTCCATTTGGAGTTAAAGAGTAACTCACTCTAGAACATTTTCCCTCATGTGGTAATCTCTAATGAAAGAAACCCTCTACACTTCTATTGAAGTCATCCATTCACCACACTGGGAGATTTATATACTAGCACTACACAATGTCGACTCTAGCAGGCAAGTCCATTTTTCATCCCAGGCAAACGTGAAGGGATTCTTTAAAGTCGACTCCAAAGATTCGATGGCATCATAAAATGTAATTCTATCAAGTTGCTATGTGAACTACTTACAGCCTGACTGCCACCGATTCCTTCAAAGGACGTGTTCATTAGATACTACAATTTCTTCCTTACAAAAGCGAGATGCCCTCTGCCTTTTTGGAGAACAGAGTTTGTGATTGGTGTTTCCTGGCTCTATTTCATGTGAGGAGGGGGAATGACATATGTTTAGCTTTAGAGGCAAGAGCAAGTTGTGATTAGAAGCAGAGGAGAGAGGTGATAATGAAACGAATAGTTAACCTTTATTAAACACTTAGATTTACTAACTAGCTCATTTCATGGTCTCAATCATTTTATAAATCAATCGCTATTGTTTATTATTATTTATGAAGTTTGTATGTTGTGTGTTTGCACACACCTGTATGGCCCCATGTGTGTGGGCACGTGTGTGTGTGGGGGGGTCTGAAGTTGATATCAGGTGTCTTCCTTGATTGCTCTCCACTTTATTTTTTTGAGGTAGGGTCTCTCATTTTATCTATCAAGTCAGGATCTGTCGCTAAACCCAGAGCCTGTCAATTCAGCCTAGTCAGCTTGCCTGGGGGGACTCTGTCTCTGCCTCCTGAATGTTGGAATTACAGGTGGCTGCCATGCCTGCCCAGCTTTTATGTAGGTTCTGGGGCATCTGAACTCTGGCCCTACATTTGAGCATCAGGTACTTTATTTCATCTCCCTAGCCTGTTTATGAAGTTTTATAGACGATAAAGGGAAAGATCAGGTAACATCTGCCCAGTATTACTTACTATAGCTTCTTCTCAGGTAAAGACCTGCCCTCAGATTTACATGCAGCGAAAAAGATGGGCTCTGATTTATCAGGATACATGAGCTAACAGACACCACAGGACTCATGTTGGAAGGACAGGTGAAGGGAATGAGGACGTCCCATGAGATGAAATAATGTTCTTCACTTTAACAACAACAAAAAACCCTCCCTCAAAATGCTCAGATGAAAATGAATGTCAAGGTGCACGTCGTAGATCTGCCTGTTTCTTTGTTCTTTAGCTCCAATAGTGTACTGTTTTTTGTTTTAAAATGTTAATTTAATGAGATAAGATGATAGTGCCATTTCTTGGAACTCCTGAATATTTTCTGCATGAAATCCAGGAGGATGAAACCATGGGGAGAGGCTCACAATACCACTCCTGCTATTCAGAAGGACCATGCATTTATCTTCTCCTGTTGTTGGGAACATCTGCGTTCTCCAGTTTTATAACCTCAGGCTCAAATGTTATGTTCTGATTTGCATAGCGCCTACTGAAGAAATGGGACTAATGTAATTAAGTCACTCTGCAAAATTTAGGAGGCTATAGGAAAGAAGACAGACAATTAAAATCACTCCACCAGTTCAGAAGCACAGGGTTCTCCCCCTAGCTGGTATACTTAAAACACGTGCTGTTAAAAACATATGCATTCTCTATAAAAGCTTTACCCTAAAAACATGTCTTCTTAACAGTTGTTAAACTTACCTCTCTAATCATCAAGGTTCCTTCTCTTGAGATACTGCTGCCAAAAGTGTCTGTGTGAGCAGTCTCCAGCCCATGAGTTCCGACCAGTCCCATGTTGTACTGTTCATTGGTCCCTGGGGCTCCTGTTGGTCTGAGATGGGAAGGAACAGTAGTTATGGCAAGGCATAAATTTAGGGAAATACCATTTCCTAACCATACTCATTTCTTACTGTGGTAAAGTACACATGGCATGTAATTTGCCATTTATACGATTTCTGTTTCTATTGCAGGGATCTTTAGGACAATCTGCATTAATGTGTCTAGAATGGGGTTTCATCACCACAACATCTTCTCTTGACCTGCTTTTCACCCTATTCTCAACTCAGCCTATGAGAAAGCTGAGCTTCCTGTTCCCCAAGGGAAAAGCATGCCAATTAGCATTCAAATGGCCTGCCAGCTTTACTGATCTCTCTGTACCCTACCATGTTCTGGAACAAGCAGGTACCCTGACCTGATTTTGTACCTGCAGTTTCCTCTAGGAAACACTTCCTACCATGGATCTTGGCTGGCTCTCTCCTGTTCATCTATTTTCTATTTTGGGGAACTTCTTCTAAGAATCTTTCTCTCAAGACCTATTTATTTCTAATTCCATCAGCCTTCATCCCTTTAGTAGTTCTTATTATTACTTGTAATTCTCTAAAGTGTGCGTGTGCATGCCTGCATGCGCATGTGTGGAAGCCAAGTCTGCGGTCAGGTTTCATCTTTGGGAAGGTTCCACCTCCTTTGAGACAAAGGCTCTCATTGGCCCGGGACATGCAAATTAGGATGGACTGGTCAGGAAGCCACAGGGGTCTTCCTGTCTGTTTCTCCAGCACTGGGATTAAAGGCACATGGTACTACAATGTTGAACATTTTTTATGTAGGTTCTGGGGACTGAACTCAGGTCTTCATGATTGTAGGGAAAGCACTTAGTGACTGAGCCACACCCCAGCCCCATGATTGGCAAATTTTTTTTAGCACATTCTCTCTTCATTCCCTCCTTCTCTTTCTTTAGAACATATGCTGACTCTTTGTTTACCATTACAAACCCAGGTCAGTACTAACTTGATTTCTGCATGTCCCATGATCAAAGTGTATGTTTTCAGCAATAGGATCTTATCATCAAGTTCTGGTGGATAACCAAGAGCAATGGCAATAGTCTATTTTGTTTTGGGGGGTCTCTGGATATATATATATGAATTCCTAGATATATGAAGCTTATCAAAAAGTAGGTTTCCATATTTCCTTTTCAATCTAGCCATTACACACCCAGTATATAGCATAGAGCTTGGCACACAGTAGGTAATCATTCCAGAAATACATCTGTGCTATTTATAAAGAAGTAATCAATTCTTCATCAATAAAAAAAGAAGGCATATCAATTAACAACGGTTTAGCCCATGGGGTCATCCACGAACTAGGCTTTTAAACTCTAACAGTAATTAGCACTTTTCCAAAAACCTCTGTATTCAGCCGACACTGTGGTAATTTGTTTGTCTTGTTTTATTTTAGGACACAGTGGGAAATAGTAACAAGATGGTGCCACTGTTCCCAAGGCACATGTGGAATTTCCCATGTGTCCTGTGGCACAGAGACATAATGCCAGCACTAAACAAGGGAAAGACCACCTGATAATCAGATGATCAGAGATCTGTGAAGTACTTCAGTGCAGTGCCGAGAAATTGTCTGATCCGCAAACCTGGAAAACTAAGAATTAGGCAATGGTTTCAGGATTTCACAGTTTTGATTTTCATGTTTCGTATTCTTTCCTCTTGTTTTAGCATCTGATTATTTTTTAAATGGGGTTTTACAAACTATGAAAGGGTATCAAGATTTAAAAATAAAATTGCTTTTATATATTTAAAAACGGCCTGTGGCTTCTTAGATCTGATCAAAGTCTAAGGTTGTAATGAAATATTCATTCCAAGAACCAAGAACTACATCAGATTTATGTCAGTAGACACATTGCAAGAACTCTCACTAAGAAATAAAGTGCTCAGTGTCGGAGCACTTGCGTAGCGTGATTGAGGCTCTGACTTTGATCCCCAACCTGGACAAAGGATTCTAACCCTAAACAGAGAAGCAAAAAGATGACAGTGAGACCAGAAGAGAGAATGTACAGTAAGATGTTGACTTCAAAGTTTCTATTCAGGAACAACGGATTGAACGAAACAAAATATGGGCTAGAATTGATGTTTTGGGAGTCTCAGGAAGGAGCTATTAATATTAGTGGTGTTCCAAAATATGGACAAAGCTATTGTTGTGATAATTACTGGCATATTGCTAAGTTGATAAATCATAACAGTTCTTTTAAAAAATTTATTTTTATTCTATGTGCACAAATGTTTTGCCTGCATGTATGTAAGTGCACCCATGTGAAGGCTGGAAGACGGAGTTAGATCCTCTGGAACTGGAGCTATGGATGGTTGTGAACAGCCATGTGGGTGCTGGGAACTGAACCCAGGTCCTCTAAAAGAGCAGACAATGCTCCCAACCATTGAGCCATCTCTCCACCCCCATAATAGTTCTTAAACTGTTTCTTAACTCATGTATTTGAGACTTATTTTTATCTGTATCTTTCCTTTTCTTTAACTGTCTTAAATGTTTGTTGCACAGGACATGGCATGAACCCAATAAATCAATAAATGAAGTATTGATCCAGGAAAGGGGTCACTCGTCCCCTCTGTCAATCAAGCACTCTCTGTCACCACCAGGGCTGAGGTTGAGCTGGGGACCATTGCCAGGTTGGTACTATGTTCTCCATTATCATGGGCAGCCTCATTCTTTCTTTAATTCACTATGATGTTCTGAATCTATCCACACAGTTAAATCAGAAAAAGTGTGACTATTTTAAAGGTTTAAAGATTTGATTTATGTGGCAATCACTGGTCATTAACACATATTACTTTGCATAGCATTACCCTCTCTTTAGGATAATGCTGTATTTTGTTTTGGTTTTGTTTTTATTTTTTGAGACAGGGGTCTCCCTGTAGCCCCAGCTCCTAGCTGGCCTGGAACTTGCTATGTAGACCAGGCTGGTCTCAATCTCTCAGTCTCGCAGAGATGTGCCTGCCTCTGCCTCCCAAGTGCTGGGATTAAAAGCACGGACCACCAAGCCTGCTGAATAATTTTAGCTGAGACTATTTTCTTTCTTTTTTTTTTTTGGTTTTAATAAACTTTTATACTTTGAATTGTATGAGCCAGAACTGTTCCATCTGTGATGGATTTTTATGGTGAACAGTTTTGGCTGTTTTGAGTTATATTTTAAATGATTTCTATCTGTAATATTCATTATAGGTTGAATGAAAGATAATCTGTATTTATTCCTTAGTTAATTTGCTATAGCTATAAGCTATTCCTCTTAGCCTCAAATGCTCCTATTGTGTAGGATTGTTCTGTTATGAATATTTTATTCATATTTTTAAAGTCCTATCTTTTTGCATTAATTACCTATACCATTCATTTTTCTGTGACCATGTGTTCAACATGAGGTAATGGCTTTTGATCATGGAAAATTTCCAAAATATCTACATAGCTGGGTATGGTGGTGCATGCCTTTGATCCCAGCACTCTGAAGCAGAGGCAGGCGGTTCTTGGTGAGATCAAAGTCAGCCTGGTCTATATAACAAGTTCCAGGCCAAATAGGGTGACAAATGGCAGAGAGAGTTGGGCCTGGTGGCACACACTTTTAGTCCCAAACACTCAAGAGGCAGAGGTAGGTGGATCTCTGTGAGACTGAGGCCAGCCTGGTCACATAATGAGTTCTGAGCTGTCAGATGACCTTCCTCTGGCTTTCCTTTTCTACCCTTGCCTGTTCCTGAGCTCTGATTAAACACAAGTGGTCTCTAGGATTCTGCCTCATTCGGTTAAACCTTTTGACACACTCTTATCTATGATCTTTATTATAATCACCACCCCACTGATAGAATAGTTCTAAATAAATACATCTAACCTCTTTACTCAGTTACTTCCATATTCCGCTTCTGGTTGGGTGTTCCTACCTGGGCAGAAGTCGAGATTCTTGGCTTCCTTGGGCATTGGTGTTGAACGAGCAGCATTGCAACCATTAGTTCACCACGCTAGAAACGCAACACTATCCTGGACTCCTTCCTCTCACTCTCCCCTTGTGTTCCATCTAACTCCCTTCTACTGTATTATTCCTGAACAAGTCTCAAATATTTCCTGTCTTGCTGTTGAGGGTCTTTCTAGTCCAAATTTTCTATGGAACTCACTATGTGGATCTCACAGAGCTCCGCCTGCCTCTGCCTGCCAAGGGCAGGTATGTGCCACCACGCCTGGCTCCGTCCTTTCCCTTAACTGTCTCAGTGGGGTTGGTTTCTTCATATGAATGGCTGTCTTCTCAAATCCATTGCTTAAAGCTGTGCTGCCTTTCAAAAAAAATTTTTTTAAATTTACTTTTAGATATCAGTAGTTCCCTGTCAACTGCAGTTGAACTTAAAGTTCCTTACCATGGCTTAAAGTTATTATTGAGTCCTTGCCTGTCTCTAAAACCTAATTTTTAAATCAAATCTTATCTCACCCCCTTTTCTAATTCTAGCATCATTTAACTTAAAATGGTTTTCTATGCACATTATATAATAAAACCCTCAATGATTTTGGTTGGACCTGTCTCTCTGGAAGGTTCTTTTCAATTTTCTGCCTTTCCTTGGCTAGCTCATCATTTAAGCTGTCATTTAGCCATAAACCCATCCCAGTTCCGTGGGATGGCTCATGTGGTCCTTGGAGCATCTCTACCACTGCATCTGCACATGCCCAGATCCCAGCTGTGCTGGCAGCGTTAGTGCTGTGTGCTCCGAATGACGTGCAACAGGCCCCTAGTGAGTGTTCAGTACATCACCGATGGCCGTAGGGTCAAAGGCTTTATTTAATGCTCCTAGTAGAGATTTGATTCAAGCTTACTGTCAAAACACATCTTTTGTAAATTGATGAGTGATTAGCTATAAAGACAATTATTAGTATATTTAAACATTCTGGGACAACTGGTAACCAAATTCTTCCATTTTATAACAAACATATCTTCGCTATTATAAACTTTTTATAATTTAGTGGTTGGTATGGGTGAACAAAAAAAATCTTTTCAGATAATCACAG